AATTAGAGAAATACCTGTTGAACAAGGCTATAAAGAAGACTCTATTTTTACCATTTAGACATTGATTAGTGACAATTTCTATGAATGAAAATTTTGTACAAATATAGTAATTTCTTCTTCAAATGATAAAAACTATTTCGGTATCACTTATTAAACACTTTGACATTTTATTCTGAGCTTTCTATGTAATAAACATAAAGTCAATCGAACTGTCTCTATTATTAAATGATATTTACACCAGATGTTATGAAACAACCTAACGACGTTAAAAACGAACAGAAAATTTATTTTTAAATGATATCATTATTTTTGTGAGACACGTAAAAGATGCATTCGTTTTGACTCAACTGTTATACATATCCATTAATTAGACATTTATTTACATGCTAAGCCCATAGTCAACACTTTAGATCGTCGGATTTAAACACGATTGCGGGTTAATACCATAATTCTAACTGGATAATTGAGACTTTGTTATCGTAACAACGGTAGTAATGACAATTGAGACTGCGCTGTTCTTCAAACCGTCATAACTCCGCTCAGAATGATGTAATTTGAAAGAAAAATTTTCAACATATTCCCCACTTTCAAAGCGAGAATTGGTTACGAATTGCACCCAACTTAATAAACAGAAAATGCCTCATGGTGGCTATCTTGATTATTTAAAGTTCCCCAAGGATTCTTAATTTCCATACATTGAAGATATATATTCCATTAAAAAACTTTATGTGGACTATATTTCATAGCACAAGGTATGGCTTATACCCGTTTCCACCACTCCTGTATGCGCAGAACAGTAGGAAGTTAAACCCCATTCATTCATTCAATTTGATATTTCTAGGCAATTAACACCACTATCAAAGAAAACCGATGGATTTTGCCCTACGCCATTTTGCGAATTGTCTACTTTTACAACTAGAGTTAGTTTTGTACAATGAAAAAAATGGAACAGGGTCGGTATTTGTTTAATAAACTAATGGAACAGGGTTGGTATTTGTTCAATGAACTAATGAAATTGTTCAATGAACTAATGGAACAGGGTTAGTATTTGTTCAATGAAGAACCGGAGCAGGGTTGGTATTTGTTCAATGAACTAATGAAATTGTTCAATGAACTAATGGAACAGGGTTGGTATTTGTTCAATGAAGAACCGGAGCAGGGTTAGTATTTGTTCAAAAAACTAATGTACTAATGGAACAGAGTACGTATTCTTTCAATGAACTAATGGAACGTGGTTTGTTCTGTTTAATGAACTAATGGAATAGGGTTGTGTTGTTTGTGTGTGCAATTACGTCTTCGCGTTTTTCCATTTTCTCAACCGACGTATAAAATACCGGGTTGATATTACGGTTTAATCGAACAACGTGTTACTAATCGCTGTTAGACTTCAAAGTGAGGGACTATCAACCGTGATGTCGGATTATGAGCCGTGGGTGTCAGACTATATATGTACCGCGGTGTCGGACTATGGGCCGTGGTGTTGGAGTTTCTGTGGTTGTCATCGACTATCGAACGTGGCATCGAATTATCAGTCGTAGTGTCAAAGTATGGGGCGTGGTGGCGGACTTTCGGTCGTTGTGATCGACTATCGAACGTGGCGTCGGATAAAAAGTCGTGGGTCTCGCAGTCGGACTTTCGGTCGTGGTGAGGGACTATCGATCGTGGTGAGGGACTATCGATCGTTGTGTCAGATTATAGGTCGTGGTGGGTGTGTCAAATCGATGTGGAAACATGTACGAATATTAAACCACGTCAAATATTAAAGAATTCTATTCGTGGTCTAGAAGGTTGGGAAACCACGTCAAAAATTAAAGAATGTTATTCGTGGCCGGGAAATATTATTAAAGAATGCTATTCGTGTTTTTTGTCAGTCGATTGATTGATTTGTATATCAAACAGTATGAATTAAGAAATAAAATTACACGAGGCTCTAGGCTATCTTTACCTTACTTCATAATATCTTACTTCAAACACTTAGTTTACATTTTTAAAATAATTTCAACAATTTTTGATTTACAATTGATAGATCTCTTTGATTTAATTTTACAATTTAAGTCAATTTAATGCATTGATTTCTTTATGAAAGTGAGAAGCAGTATATCTGTACATTAAAATTTTTATGTGAACTGAAATAGCCAATGTGACAATTAGAGACTGAGTCTGGGTTACTTGGTGCACATTGTACATCGCAAATTTAATCAAAGATGCTTAAACAAACGGACCCTCGATTTAAATATATATTAAAAAATGTACTCATATAGAATCACCTCGATGCTGGCAATGAAAACATTTAATCGCATCGAGATTGTGCCACTTCTGGTCAAAATAAAAATTAAATCCCATAGAACATGTTCCATTTATGCTGGAAATTTTAAGATTTAGTCGCATCGAGATTGTCTCACGTCTGATCAAAATGAAAATTAAATCCTATGATGTATGATCGCAACGAGCGTGTGTCATCTCTGATCGAGATTGAAATTAAATCCCACAGAACATCTTCCATCACTAATCGTAATAACACAATAGATCAACCAATATCAACTGTGTTGGCCGAGAAAGTTCATCGTGATTGTCAGTGGTGCAGGGCGGAGAGCCTGACACGGACAGCTGTCTAGTCGTGCGTATGGGACGAACATTCTATGTCCTGTATACACATTGGCATCCACGCAAAAGATCCCTTGGCAGTTGGAACTCGATATAAGAGTAGGCTGTAGCGCCGCTGTCCGGGCAAAATTGCCCTCATAGCAAACTGTATGGCGTATGCCCCATCTTCATTAGCCCAGTAGGAGCAGAACAGTAGAACATTAAGCCCCATTTCATTTCATTTCATTTCATTTCAAAATTGAACTCTACTTTATTTGACTAAAAGTCAAAGAGTCATGGCTTATTTGAAAGGGTAGAAAATATTTAATTGTTCTTCCTTAATAATCCAAGGTATCAATTTATTGAAAGACAGGTGACTATAGGGGTGCGTTGGGTACTGTAGCCTAATGGTCTAAAGCGCTCGCTTGAGACCATAAGGCCTGTTATTGAGTCAAGTTGCGTGGTTTCGCTTCCCAGCGTGTACGTAACAAGACGAAGGGTCGCGTGTCTAACCTCCTGGGTTTGCTCTAGGTAGTCCCGTCCTCCGGTTTCCTCCCATTGCTCAGAAATCTACGCGCAAGCGAATTATTGAAATAAAACCAAACCGTAGGTTAGTTCCCAAATCATATAGTTTGTGTCAAGAGGACGTTAAACCCCATTTCTCTCTCACTCTTTAATGATCCAAAAGTTTAATTCTTTTAGATTCATTCAATTTTGAAATATATCCGAAATGTATTTTAAATGTTGACATTCACTGTCAAAATCCAAACTACATATAAACTTGACACGGAAGATAACATTAAAGATCAATGTCCCCAAACCAATTGCTCAGTGCGTAACGCGCTTACTCGTTAACCTGGGCAGGGGCGGGGCTAGGTTTTGCCCAGGACGTTATGTACTACACAATAGAGGCGACAAAAATCAATAATGATATAAGTATAATAAAGGATTAATTATTAGAACATTTCAAGTAGTGGTGGTATGAGGTGGTCTATAACAGAAAGAATAAGAATGTGATTCTTCATACACGATACTATGGCGACTTCAAACCACATATTTCTGTAAAGGAAATTTGTTTTGAAAGGGATCTGTGATGTAAATCGACAATATAATAAAGCAAAAGGACGAGAGGCGAGGGAGGACAATAGAACAGCCCCGTCAGTCTAAAATAAGATTTTTTGGGAGGTAAGTAACTGAGATGTAAATCGACAATATAATAAAGTAAGAGAACAAGAGACGTGGGAGGACAACAGAACGGTGTCGTCCGTCTAAAAAAAATAGAAACTTGTTTTGGAGGTAACTGAGATGTAAATCGACAATATAATAAAGTAAAAGGACGGGAGACAGGGGAGAACAACAGAACAGCCCCGTCCGTCTAAAATAAGACATGGAACGTGTTTTAGAGACGAAAAAGAGAATCAGACATACCGTATAGAGGATTATTTTATATTATAACTTTCAGTATATAGCTCACATACATTCAACATTCAATATAATACTAAACCATTAATTAAAATCCCCGGATATAGTCTTAACCCTTTAAACACATAGAAACCAAGGTTCATAAAATAACACAATTCAATTTAGATATTAACTAAATATGAAAGACGCCTTTGTCTGTACGGGATTTAGTCGTACGGTGGGTCTATGATTTGAGAAAACTGACGAAAACTCACGATTGATTCAATGGTGAGACTCGGCAAACATCGCCAAAATCACGCGCAACCTCTCATTACAGTCTTACATCCATGGTAGTAAACTTTTATAAATATTGGCTATTCCTGAGTAATGTATTCAAAAGGCAATTTTAAAAGATCGCCCAAAACTTAACTCCAGATAAACAACGATGTCCGAACATTTACAGTGCATTACAAAATGATCCGAACACATGTTTTTCTGATATTATCCTTGTTCCAACACTTGTTATGTCGTTAATATCCCTCACCCAACACTCGCCATCCTGTCTCTGCTTTAATACTTGGCGGATAAATGTACCACAAAGAAAATATTATTTTTAATTAAGAACATTTTCATTTATCCCAAATTCACAAAGAAATGGCCGCGGAGAGATGTAGATGTCCTCACAATTCGCAACACGGTTGTGACTATTCACATCTCTTGTTTAGATCCAAGGTCACCAGAGAAAATATTGTGTTTAATTAACGTTTGATGCAATTGGTTCCAAGTTCCAATGATCACGGAGAGATTTGCGTTTTGTAAGACTCTGTAATTGCGAACGATTGACTTGTATTATGAAGCAGAAGGATCGGATATTGGATGCATTAACGTTTGATGATTTTGAGACAAAATTGGTATTAGGTAAATGTATCCCTTAGGCAAGACGTCTCTAGCATACACGAACTTGTTGACGTTAAGCCGATATATTTTAAGAATAATATAAAGATAAGAATATTTACTGTTTAAATCGTATCCATCCTTGTAAGATTCACAATGATGTTATCTTTTCCGTAAATAATCGCTCCCGACTGCTTCTCCTGTGGTTAGCCCCATTTTCCACCAGAGGCGGTGCGTATTCGGCTTTGTTGATCTTTTTAACGGGAGGTCGAAGACTGTATGATGCACTAGTATGATCCTCCAGAACACATTTAGGGAAAAGAATTTTACGAAATGCTTCTCGGAATTCTTGGTTAAATATGCTGTAAATGATGGGATTGAGAGACGAGTTCACATACCCTAACCAGGTCAGGATTTTAAAAACGACAGGCGCAATACACGTAGCACAAAACGCAGCTATAAGATTAACCGTAAAAAACGGCAACCAACAAAACAAAAACACACCCATTATTATTCCTAGTGTAACGGCGGCTTTATGGTCAGACACTTTTGACGACACCTTCTTGTCGGATCCACCGTTAAAGCGATCAGCGGTAGTAGTGGTCCGTTTCATACTTTCCACATGTTTGCGTGCATAAAGATAAAGTCGGCAATAGATAGATAGCATAACTATGCAGGGTATATAGAAACTAATCGCAGAGGATACGATTGCATAAATAGGATTTAATTCGAATATACACATGTCTTCGTTACTGTTGGGGCCAACCCCGTCACCAGGATCCTGATGCCAGCCCAGATGGATGGGGACAAAGGATATGAGTAAAGATAAACACCATACCACCGATATAAAACACATAGTTCTCCGTCCCGTCATGTAACTTTCGTATCGTAACGGGTCCTTAATGTGAATAAATCTATCTAAACTTATGGCACATAGATTGAGAATCGATGCCGTGGAACACATAATATCCGCGGAAATCCAAACTTTACAGAAGACGGCACCGAATTCCCAAGTCCCTTGTATATCGTTAGCAAGAGCGAACGTCATTACTAAAACGGCTACAAGGAGATCAGCGATGGCTAACGAAACTATAAATAAATTAGAATTTCTTTTAAGTTTTCTGTCGGTAAAAACGGCGACACAGACGAGGATATTTCCTGATATAGAAATAAATATAATACAAGCTAAAACAGTACCAATAACGACTTTTTCGGGTAAATTATACACTTCCGTACTGGCTGCCCCTGTGTTGGTAATGTTAGGGGGTTGCTGGGGCGAGTCACTGTTCCCATGAGATTCGATATTATAAGTCGGTAATGTCCAATTCACTGACATGACGAAGGCTCGATAACCAGAGGGCATTCCTCCGGTTTATCACAAACAACGAACAACTTTTACTCAAGGTGAGCTGTTCCATTCCAAGTTATTCCTCCGCTCAACCATCAGTACGTCCGTGTTGTCAGCTGGCGTTACACATACTGTTCTAACTACTAGGAGCTAGTTGGGTCTAATCGTCTTAAGTATTGATAGAGAGGTAAATATAACTAGTCAGTCAGTGTTGCGAATCAATAACGGTTATAAGCTTAAACTAGTCAAATATATATATATATAACCTATCCTAACTATATATAAATATAGTAGAGTACTTTAAGTTTTGATCATATCTCGCGTTTCTTTGTTGAGTTGTTTTAAAACACCGGGTTTTCTCTCTCTCTCCCTCTCTCTCTCTGTTATCGTTCTCGATCTCTCTAGTCAGTTGTTTTATTGTCGGGAATCGTTCATCACTGATCGAACACTAGTTGTGAGAGACTGTGTGTGTGTAGTGAAGTCGGTGGGTGAATGATGGAAATGTTGTGATAGATGGGAAAACAGCTGGTTGCGAGGCACTATTTTATGTTTTGTTAAAGGGGCGCAGTCGTAAAGAAGTGAAATGAAATGAAATGGGGTTTGAGGTCCTGCTGTTCTGCTTCTATAATGGCCTAATGAAAACAGGAAATTTTGCGCGGGCCGCAGCACTATGGCATACTCTCATATTGAATTCCGAACGACTATAGACAGCTCGTCAGCTGTCCTTGTCAGGCCCTCCGTCCAGACAAGTGGTAACTACGTGGAAATTGAAGTATTATGATAGATAGTAAACTAGGTGGTACCGAGATATTATTTTTTATGTTTTGTTAAAGGGGCACAATCGTAAACACGTATGATATAGTGTGATAGATCTTTTAAAAAATACACACGCCACCCACATCTTCGTCATGCATGTGTGCAACTTTTTCTTGTTTTTTAGGAATTTTTTTGGGGTAATGAGCGAATTATGTGCTAGACAAACGTCACATCTTCGTCATGCATATGTATATGTGTAACTTTTTTCTTGGTTTTTTTTTTAGAAATTACTTTTATTTAATGTTTATAGTGTGGTTTTTATTTTTTGGTATGAACAATTTATGTGCTATACAAAATCCCGTTTTCATTAGCGCAGTCGATGCAGAACAGTAGGACATAAAGATATAGATCTTTAAAAAGAAAACGCGTCACACCTTTGTCATGCAGATCTGTAACTCCCTTTCTTTTTGTTAGGAATTACTTTTATTTAATGTTCATGGTGTGGATTTTTGGGTGTTTTTTTGGTATACAAAATCCCGTCTTTGTTAGCCCAGTTGGCGATGAATAGTAGGGCGTTAGACCCCATTTCATTTCACTTTGATATGCAAAAAAAATAAGGTTGACACGCTCTGTAAATACACAACCCGATAATTCGCCAGTTTTCCACCATTTTGTGGCTAATGTTATAAGCTTTTCTGTGGGAGGAAACCGGAGTACCCGGAGTAAAGCCACATACGCCCACACCGGGTATCGAAACCACAGCCGCAAGCTAGAGGTGACCAGCCAGCTAGAGGTCGAAGCGCGGTATTCTAGACCACACGTTAGTCCCGAAATTACCTAGCTTGTACCGAGTGGATGTTAACTCTCTCTCTCTCCCTCTCTCCCTCTCTCTCTCTCTCTCTTTGTTTATCCCACTTTATTATTGTTTCAGTAGTCCTAGAAAACAATAATGCCCCCCCCCCCTTTCAGGAAATCCCCCATACTTAAATACAAATAAATAACGGTCATAGAACAACTTTGCTGCACCAATTGGACTACTGTAGATGACAAAATGCCAAGACATTAAAAAATTCCAACGTCACTCTGACAAAAAAAACACCCCACAATATATGTGCTGATTAGGATATCATGTTAGGGGTGTCGTGCATAAGGTAGGGTATGTTTGCTGTTTCTAAACACCTGGTTCTATGACCTTTTGTATTTTTAGCTATACGACATTGTCCGTTTTATTGCTTTTTGTCTCTTTAAGAGTAAATGCGCTGTAACGTGAGAACCTAGCTGCCAGCGTGATTAAAATAGTTAATGCCCCTCCCCGTCGTGATCGACGGATTTTAAAAGTCTTCCGTTAACCTTCATTAACATCAAATAACTTTAATTAATTTCAATCTCATCCTACAAAAAAACAAAGAGTAAATGAGATCTTAGCAGCTTGCGCAGAATGTTTTATAATTGAAACTGATCAGTTACGGGAAGCAGGAACTCGCACCTGTGCACATTTAATTTGAAAATGGATTCTTTGAAGCCCAGTGATTGTTGTCAAATTTAAAGGTACAGATGCTCGTTAAATAAAAAATGAAAATGGACCCAGAAGACCGACATCCACTATATGCAATATGCAATGAGATACCTACTCTGGTTTCAAGGCGGGAGTTGGATGGTCGAATGGTTAGCGCATGCGCGTTGTATCTTAAGGTCTGTGATTGAGTCAAGTGGCGTGGTTTCGATTCCCCGGTTTTACATAGGGTCGTCTGTTCAACCTCGCGGGTTTTCTCCGGGTTCTCCGGTCCCCCCCCCCCCCACTGCCAAAGCCCCCTACTCGCAAGCGAATTATTGGAATTGAACCATATGTTAGTCCCGAAATGACCTAGTTTGTGTCGAGTGGACGTTAAACCCCCTTCGACGAAACTCTTGCACCATTGACAATTGTAAACCACACTGGAAAATCTCGAGATTCAGCCGTCTATCAACGACCGCGGCGCAAAGACCATAGATATGCCATAAATGTGTCATTTAATCATTCACGGACATATCACTTCGGTGAAAGCGGACGTAAAATAAAGGCGATCCTTAGACATTAAAGGTGAAGGCGGCAGATGATCAGAAATCAATGAAAACTGAAAAATTGCCCTAGATAAGGGTTAGGATCAGTTAATAATTTCTGGACTAAATTTTAATCAAGTATGATCCGAAAGTCTGTATTTGCTTTTTATTATCTGGGGTATTGTACTTTTAATAAAGAATATTTGGGAATGCCATTCTCAGAGTAACACAAAAGCTTTGAAATTGAAGCAAAATATTATATGATATTATACATGTACCCTTTGGAAAATAACATATTTTTGTAAGAGTACCTCTTTTTGTAATTAAAATACCGCTTGTAACGATGCTTGGAACGGATTACGCGATAGGGGAGATAACTCCTATATTAATTTATTTTTTGTAATTAAAATACCGCTTGTAACGATGCTTGGAACGGATTACGCGATAGGGGAGATAACTCCTATATTAATTTATTTTAATCTGGTTTGGGGGTTTACATTTCTCTCCATTAAAAAACGTTCGTGTCTGTAAACATATTTAAAGATAAGAAATTAAGATCTATCATTTCTCATGATATCTTTAAAACATCAAACAAATTTTAACAATAATCTTCACCTTTTGTTTTAAACCTAAGAATACCTGAAGTGTGTAACTGATTCCGCTATATCCTTTAAATACAATAGATAAAATAAAATGAAATGAAATGGGGTTTAACGTCCTACTGTTCTGCTCCTAACCTGGGCTAATGAAGACGGGCATACGCCATACAGTGTGCTATGAGGGAAATTTTGCCCGGGCAGCGGCACTATCGCCTACTCTTATATCGAATTCCAACTGCCAAGGAATCTTTTACGTGCATTCCAATGTATACACGGGACCTCGGTTTTTCGTCTCATCCGAAGGACTAGACAGCTGTCCTTGTCAGGCCCTCCGTCCTGCATCACTGACAAGGGGGAACCACTACAATAGATGAAATAATGTAATATTATATTATGGACTCGATTGTAACTGTGTATTAAAAGAAAAAAAATGAGACTACTCTTCCTTCAGAGTTATAATGTGCTGAAAACTGGAGATTTATTCCCTTGCGTGCTCTAGTCCTGCAGCCCAGTCGGAACAGAACAGTGGGACGTTAAACCCCAATTTTATTTAGCCATGGATTTAATTATTGAACAAGACTTTCTTTCTTGGCTAGGTGGGTCAGATGGTCGAATGGTTAGCACGTGCGCTGTATCATATAGTCTGTCAATAAGTCAACTGGCGTGGTTTCGATTCCCCGGTTGTACGTGACAAGGGGTAGGGTCGCCTGTCCAACCCCGTGGGTTTTCTCCGGATCCTCTCACTGCTAAAGACCCCTACGCGCAAGCGAATATTTGAAATAAAATTGAACCCCATGTTAGTCCTGAAATGACCTAGTTTGCGTCGAGTGAACCTTAAAACTCCATTTCTCTCTCCCTCCCATTCTTGGCTAAATATTGCTTAACTTAATGTTAAGTGATTAACGTTACGTTATCGTGGATTTACACAGAACACATTAAGATAGTGTCCGACACAAATACAGTCGCTGTGACCATAATTCTAGTCAATATTATGCAAAACGAAGAAGTTTTATGTTCTGTGGAATGTGCATAAACAAGTATTTTCCATTTTCATCCATTTATTGACATCGTGCAGCTGCAAGATTTATGTAAACTTTAGCCATAAAACTGTTATAAAATATAGGACGTGAGAGTATAATAAATTTACAAGTTAACCTACATTGTGTTAGAATAGTATCGAGGGAATACCACAGAATAAAACAAAGGGAGTAGAAGCTCCTTCACAGTCATGGTAATTATCTCCCCTTTCTAAAACTTCGTTCGAATAGTCTAATTACTACTGACGTCCTGTTCTACGTCTTGTCTTGTGAACAGTTCGTTTGGCACTGAATGAAACTCGACTGATGACTAGTATCACCCTTTCACTACCGCAATTTCACGAAGCTGGATTGAAACCAATGAGTTGTTCTCGGCGTAGTCGAGAGAGAGAGAGAGAGAGAGAGAGGGGGGTCTGTCATTGAATCAACTGCCGTAGTTTCGATTCTCGGTTGTACGTGACAAGGAGTAGGGTCGCCTGTCCAGCCTTGTGGATTTTCTCCGGGTCCTCTCAATGCTAAAGACCCCTACGCGCAAGCGAATTATTGAAATAACATTGAACCATGTGTTAGTCTCGAAATGACCCAGTGTGTTTCGAGTGGACGTTAAGCCGCATTTCTCTCTCTATCTGGTCTGATATCTTATTTTCATGATAAATCCCTTTTTGAATTCTGTCAGAGATTCAGAGATTCCACTCCCTTCATTGATTTTATCAGGGGAATACAAATTTCATTGTTAAATTTATAAAGCTCGTTAATGTTATATGGGTTTATTTATTTTTACAAGCCAGTCACTTGTTAATACTAGACACAGTATGTGTCTTTGTACAACAGCTGAGAATATAATAAATAGAACAATGTCCAAGTTACATACTTACAGAACTAGAGCCATGCTCATTAAATTCGTACAACCATAAA